AATAAAATAATAAATAAGTAAACATGAAGGTTTAAAACCTTTTTATTAGTGGTTAAATTAACCAAAAAAAACTTATTTAGATTTGACCAAATGCTTAATGTCAACTTTATAATTTCAATTATGACCAGTTAAAAAGTTATTTCTTTAAATTATTAAGACCCATTATAAAATTAATTAGGCCAGATTAAAGTTCCATGCATTGAAATTGACCAACAAAAAACAAAAAAGAAAGAGAAAAAGTCAACTATTTCAAATATATATATATATTGTAAAACTCATGCTACTCTGCAAGCAATTGGCGTCGCAGGGTGCAATTGAATGATCTGCTAGGAAGAAAACAATCACGATAACCGTCCTCCAATCCCTAACAAGTCTTTTATATCCTAGTGCTTTAAGACTCTCATAACCATCCTTTGTTTTTAGAAAATTAACATACATACCATTCAATTCATATGTATTCACATATCTAACACCAAAATTTCAATTTTTTTTACATATATACCACCTTACCTATGCATGAAAAATTTATTTCACTTTCTTAAAGTTAAAATAAAAATAAATGAAAGATTTGTGAGGTAGAAGAATAAAAAACAAATTTTGAGTGTTACATATGTAAATACATAGAAATTGAATGGTATGCATGTAAATATGTTTTTTTATTCCCCTTATCCCCCGCTTGAAGACTCTGCATATATATATATATATCCCTCACCTCTACCTTTCTACTTCAAGTAATCGGATGTAAACTACAACCTATCTTGGCACAGTTAAAAAAGCAGTTTATATCCAGAAATGGCCTCTGCTGTTTGGCTTCTATTCCATACATTTCTACTTTCGTTCAGCTTAACGACGGATTTTCTTCTTTTCTGCAACGCTGATCCCACCGATGGTTTTGTTCCTTTGCCCTTATCTGATGAAAATTTTAATATACAGAGGCCATACGATGTACCTTTAGTAGACCGCTACAGCTTTGTTTATGGGGTGCATCGCATGTGGGTCTACTCCAGTGACAAGCCTTTCGAAGTTGGAAACCCAACACTTCCACGAACTGAGATTCGTTTCATGGTAACTGATTTTACTAGCTTAAATTCTGATATGTTTTTTCAAACTTTACTTATATCTACTATTATATTTTTCTTTGATATTATTGTTGTAGGATTTGGATTATTCTAGCGGAATATGGCAGTTTGAGGGGCATACTTTTGTGCCAAATGGAACAACTGGCACGTCTATCATGCAAATTCACCGAGCAAAGGGAGAGAAACCAGCAACAGAATTGATACTTACGGTTTATAATGGTGAATTGAGGTTCTACTTTGATCAACAAGTGGAGCCTAATATTTACAATAGATGGGTAAGAGTGAATGTGATACATGATGCTGATGCTAATAAGGTGAGTACTTTCATTAATGGTGTTAAAAAGCAAGAAGCAGATGGAAAAGGTCCAAGTCATTTTTATTTCAAGTGTGGTGTTTATGGACAAGTAAATGAGAGCAACTATATGGAGTCAAGATGGAGGGATATCAAGATTTATAAGAAGGAAACTTACAATAACGGTGGGCGCATGACACAATCTAATAATATGATGATATATATATTTATATACATCTTTATATATATGTATACATATATGTATATGTGAGTGAGCGCGTGTCTGTGTTTGTTTCTGAGTTCAACAATCTAGAAACATGTTTGTGTTGAATTATTGTCTTATGTGTTTTGTATTAATGAAGTGCAACATGCAAATACTCGTTGCTGAGCCTTTAAATGCAATGTATTATTTGTGTATCTTTTTAAGAAATTAAATAATTAATAAAAAGTTTTAAGTGATATTGGTCTCACCTTTAATATAATTTAACCAACATGATCAATGTTGGTGATTAATAGCATTTGTAACTACTATAGCTTTAAAGTTGTAATTTTATAAGAAAGCTGGTTAAAATTATTTCATCTCAGATAATTGCAAAACATTGGAGAAAATAAATATAAAATCTGAAATATAATAAAATTAAATCTATCATAAGTTCTTTCCATATTCAAAATAAGTGAAAATAAAGCTATTATTTTCTAAGACATTTTATTTTTATACAAGCAAAGAAATGAGTCTTAATAAATTTGATAGATGCAATATATCATATAAGGTACTGTTCTCATTCCAGGTGAAAAAAGAAAAATACATATACACTTGCTGGTGAATAAATTATATATTAAAACATTACAACAACAAAGAAAATTGCAATCATTGTCAGACAACTTAAAATGTTGATAAGCATGGTTGACTACTTAAAATGTTGATTTCTAGCATGTGAAACAAAAGTTCACTATAACAAACAGCTATTTTGGCAAACTATGAAGAATAAATTTTAGATAAAATTTGTGTTAGATCTATGAAGAAGTTGGTAGAGTCTTCTCTCCAACAAAAAAGATCCAAATTTAAAGCACACCCTAACAATTAATTTCTAAAGAGAAATCAAGATAATTCGATTCTAAAGAGAAATCAAGATAATAAACCATTTAGGGACACTTTTAATGAGTTCAGACACAATTCTTGAGTCTGATCAAGAGGAAACCAGAGGAAGAAAAAGAGGAAATTGGAGAGGGGTTAGGGTCAACTCGATATATATTAAGTTTCCGATATATTTTTCAGGGAAAAAAAAATTGATAAAAGTTTTTTTGACATATTTTTCATCAGAAAATCGATCAATGATGAGCAAAATTTTAATCAACTCTTATCACGATGGAATTATTTTCCAAAAAAATTTGTGAAGTAATTTTCCATGAAACTTTCTGCTAGTTATAACAACTTGTTTGTTGTGTAATTCAAATCTAATATTCACTTGATTCACAATTTTTTCAATTTATGAGCAAATTATTTGCAGATTTGTTAACTTTAAATAAACAAAGTGACATAAATAAGATGACTGAAGAAGATTTCCCCCAATGGTTTAAAAAACATATAAGCTATAATCATCTCACACATTTATTATTATGTATATTAATGTAAACAATAAAAACATGTTTTTTATGAACTTTATAGGTCAATGATCAAAACAATGGAGTTATAGGTCTGAGTTCGATAAATCTTGCTTGGAGTCCTCTATGCATCGTAAAAATATGTTCAATCTATGAAGTGAATGACTACATATTTCATACAGGATTATGATTCGAAGAAATAAAGAATAATAAATTTGGATTGTGTTAAAATAAACACAGATTCAGATGAAAAAATAGATTATTACATATTGTCAAAGTAGTCCAATTACAATTTCCTGACCTCTATTGAGAGAGTGTATTTCTGTCCAATTGCAATTTGTTTAATCATGTTTTTAATCATGGAATAAGGTTAAACAAGCCGTATAATATCGTCGAAATTAAAATGAACTAAAAATATGTTAATTTTGATACTTCCGTTTTAGCAAAATAAGCGAGTTGCGTATATTATTTTCGATACTCTGATAAAGCAAAATATATAGTTGATTGGGCAGTAATCATCAAGAGTAAACCCATAACGACAACTGCGATTCAAAATATTATTGAACCTGCTCATCATGAAGAAGAAATACCAAATTTTTACATTCCATTTGATTTTACTCTTGAAGAAATAATTTTAGAGGATAATAAGGATGCAATGGAAGAAATTATTTTTAATGAGCATGAATTTGGTGGTAGTTTACATAAAGAAATTTTAAGTTCAACTTCTAGTCACTCATCTGACAATGCAGAAAAAGATGTGTACGTTTTCTAACTTCTTTTATTAACTGATTTATCTTATATTTATTGTTTCACCTTCTATTATTTATAATTTCACTAAAATGTTGTTTGCAATTTATATTTTGATCGTATTGTTATTCCAAATTTCTAATATAGGATCTTGACGCAAAGGGCTTGATGTTGGACAAATTTACAATATCTTGGATGTCCCGCATTAAGTGTGCATAAATTTGAATTTCTCAACTTTTATATTTACCAAAAAAATAAGAACAGAGTTTTACTCCGAGTAATACCAATAGACGTAACAAACCCCAGCAAACTCCAAAGAAGCCTGATCTGTTCATAAAGGACAAGTTATAGAAGTAATGCAAACTCTAAGAAAATTGACCATAGATGAAGAAGCTTAAGCATAGTAAAGGAATCAAAAGTTGAAAGCCTGTCAAGCAATTTATGTGTAAATAGATTAGCTAATCAAGTAATATGAACTTACAATAGTGGAATGTGCCCGGAATTATGAATCCACAGATGCATCAACTAAATCCCAGAAATAAATAAGACCATCCTGAGATCCACCAATTACGTTTATTATGTATGGCCACAAACCAATACAAAAATTCCTCATAAACAATAATGCTTGAAAGAAACATGAAAAGGTGGTCTACTTTAAAATTAACCTGCCGATTAAATTTTGGGTCAGAAGAAGGATCCATAAACTTAAAAAACATATCAGAAAAATTAGTGACATAAGCTCAATTAACTGCGGATCCTCATGCCTTATAATTGTGCCCCTTGTACTTTTGTAGGAGTTCACCAGTGATCCTGCCTTTAAAAATAAGTTATTTGGTAAGAAGCTTAAGAGTTAATATAAGGGAATTGTTGTTTGCCATTTTTTCTCACCAGTCAAGTCTACGGAGGGTAGAATCTAAGCAGTTAACAACATCATTTGACAGGGAGATACAACTAACCGGCTACTTCAAGTCGTCAACAAGATCTCTAGTTTGTGATATTGAAAAGATTAAGGAACTAAACTTATAAAGTATGCATTTAGCAAGAGGAAAATAATGAAAAAAGAAATAAATATAATAAGAACTCACTGATGTGATTCTATCCAAGTTACTCTCCTACCAATTTGAATGTCAACCTTGTGAACAGTTCCATCAACACCGTCAGCTATAATTTCAGTTTTTTGTAAAACAAGTAGACATGACATTAATGTGAAAATAATGTGAAAATAATGGGAAAATAAATCACAAGTTATTTATCATATGTGAATTACAATTTACTACAATCTAATAATCAGAATGGTGGGAACCTTATCAAATCACTTTGGATTTATAAATTGGAAACTTCAATTGGCTCAGTAACATGAGAACTGCAATCCCATGCTCTCATAGAACAATCATAACCAGTCGATACGGTACAGATCCAAACTCATTGAACTTCACTGCATTCAAAGCAAAGTCTATTTATGAGGTTAATTACAAGGGCTTGCAATTAAATCCAAAAGAAAGGACTTAAATAGATATTGCCTCATGCAGTGAAAAACAAATAAAAGAAAACAACTCGACAGACTTCATTGCTGGTCAGCGAAATTCACAACAAAGCACAAAGGTTAAATATTTATCAAATCTCCGTTTAATCCTATAATATTTACAAACTCAAGAGAGAGCCCACCTTTACAGGTCTTCGAGGGACATGGAATCTCATTTTGACTTTAGTGAATCAAAGAGCTTGGTTACATTGCTTTGTGGACTTTAAATGTCAAATAATTGTAAAAGGACATACAATGGTCAAATAAATACAAAATAAGCATCAATAATTATCTGTGCGCTAACGAAGGGGTCAACCTAATCGAAACAATTCAATTTGCAAATTTTCAAATCTCTTCACTAGTTAGGCTATCTTCCAGAACAACCAAAATCAATGCGTAACTTCTCTAAAATCTTGTTTGCTAGTTCCACAAGCAAATCATTAATTGTCAGACTTCTCTAAACCCAAATTTTTTGAATTTCAACCATTGAGGATACTTTAACATCAAAGTTTTGAGTCCCAGCTCCCAAAAATCAATGCTCATATCAAGCCCAAAGCATCAAGTCACTTAGAAGAAGGTTGTAAGTCTCGCGAGGAACTCATTAGTTTTTGGGTTTCTCTCAAACTAGGTTATAATTGCCAACTCTCAAACAAGTTAAATTGAGAACAAAATTGACCTAAATCCAAATACAATAGAATTATAGCTTTGGGCTGCTGCCCTTATAAAGTGAGCTCTCAAAACTCACCAATAGGTCGACCTAATATCAAAGTCCGAGGAACATTTTCTCAAATAAGGACTATAAAACTTAATAATGCAACCCATACATAGAGTTGTAAGTCTCAAAAATAAACCAAGTATCCATCAATCATCAAATACAAATGATAGTAAAAGATGACAAATGTTGGGCTCACGACCATATACTTTAAGATGTATAAATCCATCAAAAAAATAAGATCAACAAAAAGTCACAAGCCTATCAAATACATATACTTCAACCAAGAAGCATAAGCCTCACAAACACAAAAAAATATACCACTTCAGCCTCAAGAATTCGTCAGACTAGGGTTACATCCCCTAATGTTGGGCCTCTATTAAGTAGGAGCAGGAAGTCCTACCTACCTGCCTTTAAGATAAAAATCCATAGCTTCTAATTACAAACCTATCTTGAAAATTTTCAATAAAAAAATTTAATGCAAATGATTTCAAGTCAACAAGTACAAATCAATAAAATGTGTGGCTAGATGTGCCACAACTACAAAGACTGCAAGTCTGGCTTATGGGCCACCTTCATGGTAAGGTCATTAATCTTATTCTTTCGCATTGTTAGCATGAAAGCCTCAAACTCGTGGTTGATTCGACATTGGACTCACCAAAGCATACCTTTAAAAAATAAATGCAATCTCAATTCAAGCTAGCAAAAAGCTACCAAACAAAAAGCTCAACCTCTTGGAACATTTCTATTAAATCCAAAGACTTACATTTATACTGATCTATCATCAAGACATGACCATCACGACCCAGCCTGATAGCTTCACATAACCGAAGTCAGAAACGTCGGTTGGAAGGTATTATCATATCATTTATTTTTCACAGATTTTTGTAATATCATTTTTATAAAAAAGCCACTAAGAAACCACAAAATGCATTACACAGAAATTAAATCATCCAAATTTAACAATACTCTACAAGTAAAACATCTAAAACCAACACAAAATAGTATCACTGCTTAGAAGTAAAAATTATAATAGCTACAACAAGTTCCTAGTTCGTGATATCGAAAGATTAAATGACTTAAACTCATAAAGTCTGAATTTAGCAAGGAGGAAAATAATGAAAATAGAACTAAATATAATGAGAACTCACTGATGTGATTCTATCCAAACCAATTGCTTATCAGTTCAAATGTCAACTATGTGTACAGTTCCATCAACACTTTAGCTATAATTTCAGTTTTTGTCAAACAAATTGGCATGGTACTATCTGTAAATGTATCAATAATCTGAAAATAAATCATAAGTTATTTATCATACAATTTATTACAATATGATAATCAGAATGATGGGTGCCTTATCTAATTACTAAGATTTCTAAATTATAAACTTGAATCGGCCCAGTACTGTGAGATCTGCAATCCCATGCCCTCAAAGAACAATCATAAAAAGAACAATCATAAACAGCCGATACGACCACAGATCCATACTCATTGAACTTCACTGCATTCACCTGAAAGAAGCAAAGTGTATACATAAGGTCAATTGCAACAACTAGCAAATAAATCCAGAAGAAAGGACTTAAATAGATATTTCCTCATGCATTGAATGATGTTCCATCAAAGTTTAAGGACCCACAGAAAAAGTTGAAAAGGCAAACAAAAGAAAAAAACTCAAGAGATTTCTTGGTAGGTCTGAAAAATTCACAACAAAGCTCAAAGATTAAATATTTATAAATATTTTTTCAGATCCGAAATTTTCACAAACTCAAGGGAGTCAACATTTGCAGCTCTGTGAAGGACATAGAACCTCATTTTTACCTCAATGAATCAAAGAGCTAGGTTACATCGCTTTGAGGACTTCAGATGTCAAATATTTGTAATTGATTGACATACAATGGTCAAAATATTACAAAATCAGCATCCATAATTCTTTGTGTGCTAATGAAGGGCTCAACCTAATCAAACCAATTCAATGTGCAAATTTTCAAATATCTTCATCAGTTTAGCTATCTTCCAGAACAAGAAAAATCAATTTATAACTTCTTTAAAATCATATTTGTAAGACCCGCAAGCAAATCCTTAATTGTCAGACATCTCTAAAACCCTAGCTTTGTGAATTTTAACCATTTGGGCTACTTTAAAATCAAAGTGTTAAAGTCCCAGATCCCTAAAATCAATGCTCATATCAAGCCCAAAACATCAACTTACTTAGAACAAGGTTGTAAGTCCCGCAAGAAAATTTCTTTGGCATTTCTAAAAATAGGTTATAATTCCCAACTCTTAATCAAGTTAAACTGAGAACAAAATCAACCTAAATCCAAATACAATAAAATTATAGCTTTGGGTTGATGCGCTTATAAAGTGAGGTCACAAGACTCACCAATAGGTCGACTTAATATCAAAGTCACAGGTTCTAGCATCGAACATTCCTCAAATATAAGGACTATAAAACTTAACAATGCAACACATACATAGAGTTGTAAGTCTCGCATCTTAAACCAAGTATCTATCAATCATTGAATACAAATAAAAGTAACAAATGACAAATGTTGGGCTCATATACACGACCATATACCTCAAGATGTATAAATCCATCAAAAAACAAGATCGACAAAAAGTCACAAGCGTATTAGATAGATAAACTCCAACCAAGCAGCATAGAGTTGCAATATTTTATTTGATTATTATTATTATTATTAACAATATTTTATTTTTCATATTATTTATTTATTTTGTTTATTTAACTTAAAGTTATTACAATCTCCCCTCCTTATAAAAATTTTGCCCTTGAAATTTGAAAAGGTTTGATATAAAGTAAACATGCCTCAAATAGAAAGCTAAAGATATCTTCCTCGCATATTAGCAACTTTCTTCCAAATAGTATCATTCTCCAATCCGTGCTTCTATAAAATCTTAACAAATAGAATCTCTGTATTACAAAGCTTCTTAACATCATATTCTAGAATCATGGCAGGCTATTCTATATAAGTCAAATCAAACTGTTTATCAATAGAGTTTGCTATAATTCTACTTACTTCATTTGCAAATATTCTTTTTAAGTGAAAAAATGTGAAGAGCATTATGCACTCCCTCCATATGAGCTGATAGAGCTAATCTATAAGTCACGTTTCTAATCATTTCCACATATTAATAGGAGCCTTCATATTTGGGACTCAATTTTTTTGTCTTTCCAAATCTTTATGCACCCTTCATATGTCTAACTTTAATAAAAACAAACTCTTCATCATCAAATTCAATAGATATTGCTTAGAATTATAGTATTTCCTCTGTCTAACATGCATTGCCTTTGATCTATCTCTGATCAGTCTAATCTCTTTAATAACATCACCGATCAAGTCAGCTCCGATGATCTTTCTTTCACTTGTTTAAGCCTAACATGTGTAATGCACATTCCTCCATACAAAGCTTTATATGGAGTCATATCAACATTAGTCTAGTAATTGTTATTGTAAGTAAACTCCACAAAAGGTATACATATGTGATTCTCATCCTTTACCAAAGTTAAAGACACAAAACTTTAGTAGATCCTCCAAAGTTTGAATGATCCTTTCTGACTGGTCATTTGTTTAAAGATGAATAGTTATACTAAAAATCAATCATGTGCCCAAAACATTCTTAGTCTTCTTCCACAACCTGGAAGTAAATCTGGCATCTCTGTCAAAGATAATAGACTTTGACACTCCATACAATTTTTTAATTTGATCTACATATCATTTGGTTGATCTATCAATTGGATTTGTATGTCTAATGGACAAGAAATTGGCAAACTTGGTCAATCTATCAACAATTACCTAAATAACATCACGACCCTGTTGCGCCCCAGACAATCTAATTACAAAGTCCATAGCAATCTCCTCTCATTTCCACTATGAAATCAGTAAATGCTGTAACTGACCTCCAGGACACTGATATTATGCCTTCACTAGCTGAAATGTAGAACATTTAACGACCAATTCTACAACACTCCTCTTCAATCCTAGTCAACAAAATGTATCTTTAAACTCCTGATATATTTAATTACTCTTTGGGTGAATATTATAGTAAGATAAGTGTGCTTCTAAAATATTACGTATCAAATTATCAACATTTGGAACATAAACGATCTTTATATTTCAAAAAGTCAT